GAAGAGGAAGAGGAAGAGGAAGAGGAAGAGGAAGAGGAAGAGGAAGAGGAAGAGGAAGAGGAAGAGGAGGAAGAAGAAGACGAAGAAGAAGAAGAAGAAGACGAAGAGGAGGAAGAAGAAGAAGAAGAGGGAGATGAAGATGCGAAGATGAGAGAGATATGCAGATGATGATGACCATCATGATGAATATAATCTTTTTGCTCCTGTTTCTTTAAGAAGAACCCTTCGCTCAGGCGCTCTCAACTAATCTGCTAACCCCAGTTTGAATCTACCAGCTAGGTCAAAGTGACGTTGAGTTGAAATTTAGAAAATCGACAAGAGAGAGACGCAGAGAAAGAGAGATAGAGAGTCACAGCCCTTCACACAAACACATGGCGCTTGCTGCCCCAGGTCGGATCATGCGCGTACAGAACTTTCCTACCAAACCGGCATGTTATAAGCCAGGATTTCACCGCGTGAAAGCACGAAATCAAACAAAAACGCTTAAGAAAAGACCAAGCATCGTCGGGTGGAAGTCTGGCCCGTCTTTGAGCATCACCGGCCAAGAAGGGCCAACATAGAAGCGGCAACCCCGAGAAGCAGCAGTTGGTCATCGTGGTCGCTGCTTTCTGGTCTAATCTAAGGCGAGGACATCCACGCCACTTGGACCACTTGGACCTACAAGCGGTAGCAAAGATCGATGATGATCTGTGCAACAGCTGCTGATCCACAGCAATCTCATAAAAACAAATCTGAAAATTCTATTCACGGCCTTCCAGCGCTTCGCCTTCTGGTGCTTCTTGTCCGGGCACCTGGATTGGGGAGCTTGGGACTAGAAATCCTCAGCAAAGACTTGGAGTGTCCATGATGTGGCAAAGCTTCATCTCTGGCCGGGGGCTGCACTGAAGCCTTTGCCGCAGTTGAAGATGTAGCCTGAAACCGCAAGATGAAGGCTCTTCTGGAAGTCGAAGCTCGCAAAGGCACCAACGATTTTTCATTTGCTAAATCATCATGTTGATGATGTTATGCTCCAAATATATTATGTTGTTCAAATTGTGAGTGAAATTCAAGACAAAGAAGTGATTGTTTTTCTTGTCACTGTAAACTGACTCAATCAACCCCGGCATGCCCTCACTCAATCGACGATCAAGAAGGCTATCGTGCTGCTTCTTCCCGAATGATTCTGCAGCGTGTCTCTTGGAGTAGCACTTTGGTGGTCCCATAAGATGGTTTAACGTCGAGTCGAGTGAGTCCGAAATCTCAGGCCACCTCCGCAGCACTTCGACCTGCAGGTGGAACAATTGGAAAAATGTGCTGAACGACAATCTTGCTGATAACATCTGAACATTCGGAAATCCAACATCCGGAGCCTTCTGAAGCTGGCACCTGGACCGCGGAACAAGACCCAAGAGAGTCCAACATGTGAACCACCTGAGGCTGTTCTCGCCTACCGTTTTGGAATTCGTAGATTTTTGCTCACAAGGACGCCTTTGTACAGTCTTACACATGCTTCCAGGGCAGAGAGGTCTGTTCTCATTTGTTGGCACCTTGCACGGGAAAAGAGTTCAACAATGCAATTGGAAATATCTATATATATATGTAACGCAATCAAGTTGAAGAGAAGAGTGCTTCCATCTCAAACGCATTTTGATTGACCGTGTTCAAACGCGGCCGGAAACTGGAAGATCGAGGCTTTTCAGGAATTTGCAGCTCACAAAGGATCAAATGGTTAGATTCATAAAATTCGTGAGCAATTGAACCAAAGTGCAACTTCCCGCGACGTCACATCTAGGCGCTGCGCTCCTCATCGTTGTTGAGCTCAGAGGGACACAACGGTTATAAGAAAGTGATTTTAAATAATATACCGGGAATCAACGTGTGATGCCCTGTGAACTGGGTCGAGTCGAAGACTGACGGTCTCTCTATCACACTGCTGGGCTGTCAGGCCAAAGCAATTGCCGTAACAACACTGTCATAGCCAATGCCAGCTTCCTGCAAAGTCACGTGTTCTTTCCTGGCGGGGCAAATTGCCGAGCCCCAAATTATACATCCCTTGTCAAGAAAACGGACAATAAAATATCCAGACCAACAAAATCATACAAAAAACAGGTCTCGAGATTGAACTTTGTGCTCTTGGTATTACCACGCTTCAATTGCGTTGAACAGTTTGTTACCCTGCTTTGCCCAATCGAAAGAAATACATCTCCGACAAAGGGGACTTTTCTTCAGCTCACTCCAGCCAAAATTCGCGCTGCTCAACTCAAAACATGCAGGAGGCACAGAGTCGTTCCAGAACTTGTGACGAGGTGGTGGATTCCAGTCCCAAGCTTTGACCTTGGCGACTTCTGCAACACCAAGGATGTAGAATAAGGACAGGGTTTTGTCGCAGAATTGTTGCAGCGCCCCTACACTGTGACCTTCATTAGCCGCATGGTCGTTTAAACCTCACGCCTGCAGTTTCGGCACGTTTCAGCTAGCCTTTGTCTCAAGCAATCCTCCTTGGGTAAAAAAGGATCAAACGTGGAGAATAAGGAATTGAGCCAATGCTCGGTGGCAGTTGAAAACGACAATGCATTGAATACGTTTGCTATCACATTCACTCACCCGAGCAACAAGCTCAAGAAATGGAGCACCTCAAAACTCATGAGAGCCAACTTGTTGCCTCAAAGTTGCTGGGCTTCTTCCAGCAGGTCCCGCACGGTGCGGCTGGGCTCTGGGTCACCTCACAAAGTCCAACATGTGGAGCAAATCACAAGAGGCTGGTCACTTCTTGCAGGATATATCATCCAGCTGAGTTTGTACATGCTCAATCTCGTTAGCCGCGCCTTACTTGGTCTTGTGTTGACCCGTGCTTGGTGTTTTCTATTTTTGCAGCACCGGGCAGAAAAACATCAACACCAGCAATACCATCAGCAGTAGCAAGTCCACAACCTAAGGGAACAAGTCCAAGAAGTAGAGCATAAGATCCGCAAAGCTACCAAACAATATCTTGCTTATGATGAAACATTCCACTTTATAAGCCGTGAAACATGGTGGAACATATTTGGTACTAAACTCAAACACACCAGTTACTTTGTGGGGGCCATATCTCATCCAAAAACTTTTTTGGAAGTCGTTTCACACTACCACTCTCTCTTTCAGACTACTTTAGTAGTAGATCACCAGAAAGTCGTTGTCATCAACCAAGGTATCTCGCTTAAGTGGGACCCTATCTCGTCCACACGTGAAAAAACACTGATGTTGGACAAACAAACAGTACATGTCGTAGTATAAAAAAGCCGCATAAAGGTGGTTGCTCATATCAATCTAAGAGCTAAGCAGGCAACATGGGTTCAAAGGTTCAAGACTGCTCCGGGTCAATCCAACTAACTGACTTGCAGCCAAGCTGCAGCCCACTGTGCGACCACTAAGAAGGCCCACCTGGACCTGAGTCGTTTGCAAAGCCATGACAAGCATTAGTTGACAGTAGTTGAGGCAAGGAGGCTGTGTGACAAACCCAATCTGTATTCTCAGTGGGAAGGAAAGATTGTGTCAAGTGAAGCACGCATCATGAATCATGTAGCTTAACAATGCCTACAAATGCTTAGAGGGTCAACTGATTGTTTTGTTCGATAGTTCCTGATTAAAGCAAGTAAGCCAGAGTCTCCAACCGCCATAACTAATCCACAAATGTATCCTTTGTAAGGACCCAACTGGCCATTTATAGTGAATACGAGTGTTGCAATATTAGCACTACTGAATTTACACTCTTGGTCTTGGTCTTGGTTCATGAACCGCTTGTGACCGCTTGTGGTCTAAATGTCGTCCATGTCAAGTCACCTTGTTGTCTGGCCCAATCAGAGCCAACAACAAACAACTCACCAAACAAATCCCAAACACGCATCAATAAGCTTAATGCACCTCATGAATGTCATGTTTCTGATTTAAATCGCAAATCCTCCATCCAAAAAAGAACCTACCCGCCCCTATAACGAGAACCCTTTTTTTTCCTTCCCTCCTCTCGACCCGCTCTCTTCCTGGGAGCCCATCGCCCGACTTAGGCGCTGCCAAGGCACGGGACGCAGAACCGGCGCCATCCGCGTCTCGTGGCCTTCCCTTTTGGCCACCTCCCAGGGCGTTAGGCCTCGGCCGCGCGGTGCTTCGGCGCAAGGCGACCCGTCGCCTTCGAGGCCGAGAGACGCCGACCCGACGCGATCCGCTCCGTTCTCCGTTCTCCGGGCGCCCCGGGCCGGAGTTGTTCTGGGCGTCGACGTCGGCGCCGGCGTCGACCAGGCGCTGCGCCACCTCGGAGTGGCCCGACCGGGCCGCCCGGTGGAGAGGCGTCCAACCTCAGGACGCGGCGCGGAGGACGAGCGGATAATATTTCCTCTTTTGAAGGGTCTGCAGGAAGGAAATCAGCGGAGAGGCGCGTGCACGTCGAGTTGGATCTTTTTGGAGAGTTTCACGGATTTGCTTTGCTTTTTTGAGGGGAATTCTCGGGGTTCACGAAGTCTGACTTGCATTCAAACAGTTGCACAAACAAAAGGCACCCTAGTTTCGAGGACCTCACCCTCTCGTCCTTCGTCCAATTCTCTCGTCGCCGAGGCCGATCCGCTGAACCCGAAAGAGGTTCCCAGGCGCCCCGGCCCTCGAAGTCCTTCGCCTCGACGGCGGCGCCCGCCGCCACGAGCCGGTCCACCGTGGCGATGTGGCCGTGCAGCGCCGCAAGATGCAGCGGCGTAGTGCCTCGGCCGCGGCGGCGCCGAAGAGTCGAAAGGACTTGGTTTTCTCCGGGAGAGGCCGAGAGGCGGAAGAAAAGACGTGGAAAAATGTTGGTTTAAGACACCGTGATTAAATGTTGACGCCCCTCTCAATTCATGAAGAATGGCAGGTCACTTTGGACATTTGGAACTCTGTTTGCGTATGCTCGAAATCTCACCGACGTGTTGCTTAGTCTTCAGATCTCCTGGTTCTAGCTCTCCGCTCTCCGGGCGCCCCAGGCCGGAGTCCCATCGACGTCGCATCTCCGTCCAATTCTTCGCATGAACGTCGGCGCCGGCGTCGACCAGGCGCTGCGCCGCCTCGGAGTGGCCGCGGATGGCCGCCCCGTGGAGAGGCGTATAGCCTCAGGACAAGGCGCGGAGGACGAGCGGAGAATAGTTCCTCTTTTGAAGGGTCTGCAGGAAGGGAATCAGCGGAGAGGCGCGTGCACTTTGAGTTGGATCTTTTTGAGGAGGTTCACGGATTTGCTTTGCTTTTTGGGGGATTCTCGGGTTCACGAAGTCTGAATTGCATTCAAACAGTTGCACAAACAAAACCATCAAAGAATATAATCAGGAACGTAGGATGAATCAACATGCAAGTTTGGATCCAACTCACCCCTTTAGTTTCAAGGACTCATCCAACCCGACTCCGTCGCTTCTCTCGTCGCCCTGAGGCCGATCCGCTGCCCCTCAAAAGGTTCCGTGGCACCCCGGCCATCGTCGTCCTTCGCGTCGACGGCGGCGCCGGCCGCCACGAGCCGATCCACCGTGGCGGTGTGGCCGTACCTCGCCGCAAGATGCAGCGGCGTAGTGCCTCGGCCGCGGCGGCGCCGAAGAGTCGAAAGGAATTTGTTTTCTCCGGGAGAGGTGGAGAAAAACGTGGAAAGAAGTTGGTTTAAGTCACCGTGAAAAGAAGTTGA